GGGGGGGGCTTTTCAAACCTCCGTGATCCTGTTAGGAAAACCAAACCTAACCAAACCAGGGTGCTCTGTGCTGTCCCTCCAGCAGGGCCCGCCCTGAGTCGTCTCCTCCCCCACAGGTATTTCCTGCAGGGAGTGTGTCGAGAGGGGAGCAAGTGCCTGTTCTCACACGATCTGTCCACCAGCAAGTCCTCCACCGTCTGCAAGTACTACCAGCGGGGGCAGTGCGCCTACGGCTCCCGCTGCAGGTAACACGGCACGGCGGGCTCCCGGCACCGCTCCCGCCACCCCACACCCTGGGGGGCACAGCGGGGACAGGAGCACAAGGGGAGTTAAACCAGTCACCGAACGCGAGCTTTGCCACAGCCACAAACAGCTTTTGGATCCAGCAGTACAGTTCTGCTCTGGTGTGGCTTCAGCAGTTGTTTATAGAAGTGAAACTTGAGGTTTCAGGTGTGTTTTTCATCCAGTTCTCCCCCCTGAAAGAGCTGTTGGATGCCCAAAGCAGGGCTGCAGCTGCACATGGAATGGCCTCTGGCAGCAGGGCTGGCTCCATGTCCCTGGAGAGCCTGGGAGCTGCTGTGCTCTGAGCCACCTCCACATACATCCCAGCTACAATTCCTGGGATTCCAGCTCTGCCTTGGAGCAAAGCCCCCTCCTCGTGCCCCCTTGGAAAGCTGAGCAGTTCCACACCTTTCCCTGGAGCCTTTGTGTTAAAACTCCCTGAGGAATGCTCTGGGAAATACAGTGCAGGGGCTGATGTTGGTACATTGGTATAGCAGGGATGTGCCCCAGGGCTCCTTCCCAGAGGAATTCCCAGGTGCCTGTGCTGTGCCTGCACCTGGGAGAGGGATCTCTCTGTAGAGTTCCCTCCCTTTGCCTGGTTCATGTGCCAGACTGGATCAGGGGGTTGGACACCAGTGGTTCCCACAGCTCCCATCAGCTGCCCTGGAATTGTGTGGGACGTGGCTGGGGGCTGTGTCACTCAAAAGGCTGCAAAGTGGAGTTGGTTCTGATCCAGCTGTTTTGCTGGAGTTTGGGCACTCAGTATCTGTGGGCATTGCAGGTCCTCAGCACAGCACCAGAATCAGAGATGGGCAATATTTTTGTTCCCATGAAAAATATTGTAGCATTTGGGTATGGCCATGGCTTTACTGGACCAGCCCCTTTACTGGCCGGGGTGCTCCTGCTCTGCTGCTGGAGTGTGTTTCCATAGTTTTACTGGACGTTTTGAGTCCTTTAGGAACTCAGAAGCCCTTTATCTCCTGTGTGGAGATTCGGCATCCTCTCCCGTGGTGGGGAAGCACAAGGTCTGGGTGCTGCTGCCTGCAGGAGGTGCTGAACTGTGGCTCCTTCCTGCACAGGGCCAGTGCTGCTTGCCTGGGGAGTGGGGAGGTGTGGGGGTGACAAGATCCACCCTCCATGGCCAGTGCTGGGACCCTGCCGGAGGCTCAGCCCCTTGGACAGGGTCTTGAGCTGCCCTTGTGCCTGTCCCCAGCACCTGTGCTGGCTGTGACCCCCTTCTCTGTCCCAGGTACGACCACGTGAAGCTCCCGGCCCCGGGCGGGGCCGCAGCCCCGCCTCCCCCCGCTGCCCCCCCGAGCCCCCGGCAGCCCCCGGAGCACGGCCCCGGCACCCGGAGCAGGAGGGAGAAGAGGACGCTGGTGCTCAGGGACAGGAGTGAGTGGGAGGGGGCCGTGCTTGTCTTTGGGGCCGGGCGGCAGGGGGGGGGGTTGTCCTCCTTTGATTGAGTTCCGTGGCCAGCTACAGAGAATTCCTGCCCGATGGAGTCTCTTGCCTTGGAACACTCGTGCCTGTCCTCCCTTCCACTGGCCTGTGGAGGGACTGGCTTTGAGCTCCCTGAGGGATTTTGTCCACCCTGACAGGAGGGTGGAGCCGGGGGGGGGAGTCGGGCTCTGCTCCCAGACAATCAGCAACAGGACAAGAGGAAGCGGCCTAAAGCTGTGCCCGGGAGGCTCAGGTTGGACATGAGAAGGAATTTCTTCCTGGAAAGGGTGGTCAGGCCTTGGCAGGGGCTGCCCAGGGAGGTTTGGAGTCCCCAGCCCTGGAGGTGTCCCAGGAAGGCCTGGCCATGGCACTCAGTGCTCTGGGCTGGGGGACAAGGTGGGCATTGGGCATAGGGTGGACTGGATGGTCTCACATGTCTTTTCCAGCCTAAATGATTTTGTGATTTTTTTAGTCTATTTGTAAACAGAAAGCAGCTGAAGAAATCTTGCAATTGAACTTTTCAGTAGGTAATTTGGGAACATTCCTGTGATTTGTGAGCAGAAGGGGCTTAGAGATGAGATTTCATTGAGAAGAAAACTTTAAAAAAGCAAACGCAGCTGTTGCTCCTGGGAAGGAGAGGCCGTGGAGTGCCCTGGGCCGTGCAGTGCCTGTGTCTGTCCCCTCAGATCTGTGTGGCTCAGGAGAGGAGAAGCCGCCGCCGGGCGCCCCCGGGGACGGGGGGAGCTGCAGTGAGCCCGCGGAGAGCCTGGAGGTGAAGCCCCACTCGTACCTGGAGGCCATCTGCAGCGGGCTGGCAGAGCCCGGGCCCGAGGTGCCCTGCGGGGCCGGGGGGCAGCTGTGCCCCTACTCGGCCCGGGGGCCATGCCCCGTCGGGGAGCGCTGCCCGTACCTGCACGGGGACCTGTGCGACATCTGCGGCCTCCACGTGCTGCACCCCCACGACCCCGAGCAGAGGAGGGCCCACGAGATGGTAAGGACAGGGCACCCTGGGGGTTGGCTCTGCAGTGCAAAGACTGTTTTGTACCATAGCCAGTCCCAAAGAGCTGCCGTTGTATTGCTTATCCAGCTAGAGAATGGTTCTAACAGTGGTGTGTTCAAGCATCTGGGGCTTAACTGGGAGCAGTGATGCAGGAATCACCTCGTTTTTTCCTATTCCATCCCTGTCAGAGGCTGGCCTGCAGCCCTCTCCCAGCGCACTGAAGCTCTGCCGGAATGCCCGTTGCGGGTCAGCCGGTGCCTCTGTGCATGTCACGGACACTGGGACAGGAACTGGGGCTGCTGTGCTCTGGGATGGCCCTGCTGGGGCAGCTTGGCACCTGCTCCTGGCTGGGGCTGCACCCAGGACACGGGCAAGTGGGGACACATGGGAGGGAGCACAAAGATTTTGGGGCTGAACTTGCAGGCATTGGTGAGGCATTGGCTGGGTAAGGATGGGCTGAAGGGTTGCTCGTTCCTCTGCCTGGCTACCAGGTTTACATCAGGGCTAGTGAGGAGCAGGAGCAGAATCCAAGGGTTAAAAAGCTCAGGGTTTGTGCAGTCTGTGTGTACTTTTGAGATGTGCTGCTGCAGGAATGCTCACTCCTCCCAGGAGCTGGTTGGTGCCTGGCTCAGTGTCCAGGCACTGGTGCTCTCAGAAGCAGAGCTGTGTGCTGGATGAGGAGCTGCACTAGTCAAAGGTGCTACTAACAGGGAATTATTTTGTGTCCTTTGTCATTATGATTATAGTTTGAAGTCATGTAAATTTATATTACTTTTCAAGCCCTGAGACCTTTGAAAAGTAAAGAGGTAGAACTGTGCAGGTATGAGCAGTAGCTCACCTTGTGGTTATGGATTGTCACTGTGGGGATGAGCAGTGCTGGAGGAAAGCCTGAAATAAGAGCCTAATGCCTTAAGTGCGTAAAACTTAATATCCAGTGAGTGAATGTGGCCTTAATAATAATCAGAGTAACAACTTGAGTGTGGCACTTGTTCTGGACCCTCAATGTGATGTTTTTTCGAGGTGTTTGAAGCATTAAATGATTCAATACCTGTTCCATGAGAGATGCAGAAAGGGGTAAATGAAGAGTGCTCAGGCATCCTTATTTCTGACAGTTCTGAAGCTGCAGAGAACACTGAAGGCTGAAATAAGTGATTGGATTTAATGTTCTTTAAATGAAATGATGATGGGTAGGAATGATGCCCTTAGTGAGTGTTGTGTGTTTTTGCTGTCACAGACCCTTTCCTCAGACACTTCTGTCCCAGCCTGGCAGGGAGTGCACTGACACTGACCTCTCTCCCCCACAGATGTGCATGGCCACGTTTGAGCACGACATGGAGAAGGCCTTTGCCTTCCAGGCCAGCCAGGACAAGGTGTGTTCCATCTGCATGGAGGTGGTGTATGAGAAACCATCGGCCTCAGAGAGGAGGTTTGGAATCCTGTCCAACTGCACCCACACCTACTGCCTGTCCTGCATCCGGCAGTGGAGATGTGCCAAGCAGTTCGAGAACCCCATCATCAAGTGAGTGTTCTCCTGGGCCCTGCCACTGAGGGGCTTGCAAAGGAAACTGCTGAGCAGGGATTCTGGAGCTGGAAATATGAGCAGAGAGCTCAGAAAACAGGTCCAAGGGCTGGCCAGTCCCAGGACTTGGCTATGAGAGCTGTCTCCAAGAGCAGCAGGACACTTGGGGTGTCCTTGGGTAACAGCTCACTTAATGCTCTGGCCCTATGTGGGAAAAGTTTGGCCCTGTCCATGTTGTTGGGGCAGAGTGCAGACACGGGGGCTCTGGAACAGCTGGGACCTCATTAACCTCTGCCCCTCACAGTGACCTGTGTGCAAGAACAGCAACTCCTTTTCCTATGTAGGTGCTTCATTATGGGACTTTTCTCTAAATTGTGGCTTACTCCAGGTAAAGGTCCCACTAATCACACCTTTATCTGTGTCTGAGTAAATGCCTTCATCTTCTAGCTCAATAAAAAATGTATTCCAAACATGTTCCTCCTCAGGTGAGAGAATTTAAAACATCCGGTCAGTTTCCTTGAAGTTACAAACATGGGAAATATTTTCATTCTTCTGCCAAAATAGACTTTTCTGCACAACTTTTACTACAACTTTCGTTGAAGTGAATGTCAGCTCATTGCATTTCCAAAGTCTGAGACACCTTCATTTGTGTTTCTCCTCTGGTTTGGCTTCCTGCTGCAGGGGGGCTGCAGCACTCACAGAGCAGTGACAGTTTGTTTCTGCTGATCTGCTGGGGTTGGCAAATACAGGTTTCTGTGCATTGAGGAAATACCTGTTGCTTTTGTTCAAGTCCAGAACCAAACAGGAGCCCTGACTGCACTGAGCTGGATGATTTCAAGTGAAACTCCAAAGCAATGCACCCCAAAGTGTGCTGTGCTAACGTGGGAGGAGGAGCTGCTGCCTCAGAGTGACAGAGCAGCCCCTTCCCTCGGAAAAGCTGCTGCTGGCAGGTGTAGGGGGGTGTCCCTCCTGGGAGGGTGTCCCTCCTGGAGGCAGCAGAGCTGACAGGCATTGCTGTTTTGTTCAGGTCGTGCCCCGAGTGCCGAGTGATCTCCGAGTTTGTCATCCCCAGTGTGTACTGGGTGGAGGAGCAGGAGAAGAAGAATGAGCTGATTGAAGCCTTTAAGCAGGGAGTGGGGTAAGTTCAGTAACACACACTCTGTGTGTTCTTTAGATGCACCAAGGGTCAGTCAGTCACTGAGCCCGCATTTCTAAACTTCATGTAATTCCAGCCCATTGTCCAGAGAACTCCTGATCTCTGCTCACTCCTCTGCTTAACTTCGTGGCTGCCACGAAATGGTCTGGCCTGTAATTGTAGATCAGAAATTATTCAACCTCACTGTGCTCTGAAGTGTTGAAGTTATTTCAGCTCACTTGCCAAAATTGGCTTTATGTGGCTTCTGTTTATCCCTCAGACTCAATCGCCTGGAATGCTGTTGGTTACTGAGAACAAACAGGGAAGGAAAATGTAATAGTCTCCTGCAATATGGGATAAAAATTCATGGAGCTTTTGTAATGTCTGCTGGAAATGGCAGATACTCCAGGGCTGCATTCCTTGTATTGTCCAACAGGAATACTGGGAGCACGGGGAGAGGGCAGTGCTAGAGCAGCTCTGCAGAGCTGTGCTTGCCTGGGATGTGTGAGGGCTGTGTGGTTCACAGAGCAGGGAGATACCATTTCTTATCTCCTGCTCCCTGTTTTTAGGGTGACCAGGCAGAGCTGGGCCTGACCCCAGTGAGCCTGGTCTGTTTTGCTGATGGTTTGCAGCTTTATTCTGTGATGTGCATCCACCTTTAAACAGGAGTACAGGAAAAAATGGGCCTTATTTAGACCCATCTTACTGTGGCTGCAGCTTCTCAGCTGCTTGAACTCCTGTAGAGCTCAGCAGAAGAATTGAAAGCAGTGCTGCTCCATGAAACACTTAACCCAGCATCTTGTCCTCTATTTGCAAAATATTTGAATAAAATTAAGCACTTTAAACTGCAGTTCTTCAGATAGGGGTTGTTTTCAATCCCCCATCACTGGTTTGGTTTATTTTAGCTCCTAAGGACTTTGGATTGAGGTGGTCAGTTGTGCTCCAGAGCCTCAGCACAGTTTTTAAACAGCCCTGTTCCCAGCAAGGTCAGCCTTTGTGCCACTGCAGTAGCAGTGTAGGTGGTCATGGAAGTCAAGTTTGACTCTTGTCAACCGTTGTATAGGAGAAGGTGTAAAAAGAGGCTTTGCTGAAGTGCTCAGCTAAGACTAATACATTACAGGTTATGGGTAAAAATGTCTTTGGTACAGAAATTCTATGGGTAGAGCTCTTGGCAGTTAGTTTAATGTGAGGATTTGGTGTTGGTGGAATGAAAAAATGCTAATAAGATGCTGCTGAAGTGGAGTCTAAGCCAAGAGCTGGGGTCAGGACAACACAGGATGAAAAAACCTGTTTGAGTGTTTGGGTATTCTGTTTGTTAGGGTTGATCTTTGTGCTCCATGTAGTTGCTATTGGATAGACTGTATCTATGTCTTAGGAATCAGTTCCATCACTGTTTTCATATTATCAAGTTCCATTGCATTTTCCCTGTAGTTTCCTCTTCAGCTGTTTTCATTGTAGAACAATCCACCCCCCTCCCCAGGTACTGTTGTACAAACTGTGCAAGGATCAACCCTGTGACAAGTTGCTGTGCAGCCTGGACACCTTGGCTGAACAACAAAGATGAGGAAACATCAAATAACAAAGAATTGTCAAAGGAGATGAGGAGGGGAACTGGTTCTTAAAAATGTAGTGGTAGAAAAGGCAGGAGAAAAGATATCCTAGAAAAAGAGCAATGGATTGGCCCATTGTGGTGCTCTTTGAACATCCTTCACTTTCACAGCTTAAAATGAAACTGTTTGATTTATGATGCTGTTTTTTTATGTGTTTGTTTGCTTTCAGTGATCTCTCCCCTCTGTTTTGGCTGCTCTCAGGGAAGGGGAGGCCAAAGCTCTGGGTGTGAGAACTGGAGCATCACTAAGGCTGAGCCTGGGGACTGAACTGCAGCTCCTTCCTCCCCAGCTGGAGGCAGTAACTCTCTCTTCTCATTAAATCAGGAAAAAGCCCTGCAAGTACTTTGAGCAAGGGAAGGGGACGTGCCCCTTTGGCGGGAAGTGTCTGTACCTGCACGCGTACCCCGACGGCACCCGCGCCGAGCCCGAGAAACCCCGCAAACAGCTGAGCTCCGAGGGCACAGTGCGGGTGAGGAACCCTGGGGCACTGCTCTGGCACACCCTGCGGGGAGCAGGGGCTGCTGGGAGTGTGCTGTGCCCTGCAGGACAAGCTGAGAAAGCACCTCTCAATGCCCCTTGGGGCAAAGGTTTGTTCTTAGGGGAAGGAAAACGCACCTCATTTAACAGCAAAATGTTTGCTTTATTTTTTCAGCTAGTCCTTCTCAGGGCACACCTTCCCTCGCAGCAATTCTGCCCTTACAGCTTTCAGCCACACTGCTAAAAGCTCATGTCATGTGCCTGCACAGAGCTGGCCCCAAGGGCAGCTGAAAAGGTTTAAAGCCTCCTCAGAAACTCACCCTGGCCTGCATTTGGTGCTGGCCGTGTCCACTCCCCCCTTCGTGCAGAGAGGGGTTGTCACCCTGAGCTCAGCACACAAACCCAGCTCTGCAGTCCCCCCCCCGGGGCTGTTCTGATGAGGAAGGGCTGCCGGGGCAGAGTTCAGCTCTGGGGCTGGTCCCTGCTCAGGCACATCTCTCTCTGTTGCAGTTCTTCAACTCGGTGCGTCTGTGGGACTTTATCGAGGACAGGGAGAGCCGGGCGGCGCCGGGCACGGACCAGGTCACGGAGCTGGGGGAGCTGTTCATGCACCTCTCGGGGGCTGAGGAGGACCCTGCTGCTGCCCAGTGAACACAGCACAGCCCTCCACCCACAGCAGTGCAGCTATTTATTAGCCTTGCCTTTACTCTCTGCAGCACAGGTAGAACAAAAGTGCCCTGTGGTTTACTGTGCAGTCCCGGTGAAGTTTTCAGATAGTTTTTGTATGGCAACAAAAATACTAAAATATATTTAAAAAAATAAATCGACTGCATGGAAAAAAAAATCCCTTAATCCCAAGAGGGTTTTCTCCCTCTCTGGCCTAACATATGCTGTCTTGTGAGCTGAGTGGTAGTGTAAATACAGTGCCAGGTAAAGCTTAAGCTGGTAAAAACTGTTGCTAAATAGAGTTTGGGTGCTTTTTTTTGTTTTCTCCACTAAATCAACTAAATGTATAACTACAAAACCCACTGGGAATAATGGTTAGTGTACATTTTTCTCCTTAAAAAGGAGACCTGAGATTTAAGACCTTACACATTATACCTCAGACAGTACCTAGAGTTCAGCATAAAGTTTACTGCACTCTTGGGGGTGGATGTCCTGGGAGTGGGGCTGGACAAGGCCTGGCTCTCCCAGACAGGGTTCCCACCCTTGTTTTATGCAAACTGAAGTGCAGGGAGGCAAGAAGTGGCTCTTGGAGCAGCTGCTGTAAAGCAAATGCAGCTGCACTGAATCAGAAACTCGGGCAGAGCAACACTGGTGTCACAAGGCAGAGCTAAATTGAACTTACAGCACAAACTGGAGCTTGGAAACTGCAGCATGAGAGAAAGGTGTTGTCAGTAACCCGACCCACCATCCTGCCCCAGCACTGGGAGTGGCTCTGCAGCTGCTCTCTGTCTCCATCTGCCTTTTCCAGAGCAAGGCCAGCGATGTTAGAGGCACAGCAGGGGTGAGGGATTTAGGCACATCTCTGCTGAGTGAACAGAGTTTACTGAATTCTGGTTTTGTTAAAAATGGCATTCATGTTTGTGCTGCAAAGGGAGTTAGAAACTGTGAAATTTGACACACAAAGTTAATTCTGCTCAGTCGTTTGCATGAACTTTGCAGTTAAACTAAGAATTGTGTCTGGACACAGGTGAAGTGGCTGCTGAGTCACAGCATGAACACACCTGAGCTGGTCCTGCCCCTGCAGGGGAGGGGAGCTCAGGTTCTCTAAATACATCCCTTGGGATTAGAGTGAAACCACAATGAACAAACAGTGTCTGTAAATATATATATGTGTGTGTGTGTGTATATATGCACATATATATATGTAGGGTTTATTTTAGAACAATTCAGTTAAAGTGGAAAGCAGGGATGGAGTCAGTTTGGTTATTATTTATATTATTATAGCAACACAAAGGCATAACAATAACACTTCTGAAAGTGGGAAAGAAAGAAAGAGAAAGGAAGCATCAGAGTAGAAAGATCTCACCCCGCATGGATCCAGTGCTGAGGTTTGGCTGGTGCAGTTTGCACGTCCATGGGTCAGTGATGGTCACAGTCCTGATCCATCGGGGAGGGGAAGAGCCACAGAACACCAAGGTCAGTGGATAATGTTCCTTCAGGGTTAGGTGGGAACACCCAGGTACCTCCCCTGGGTGTGAGGCAAAGGGCAGGAACCTTAATCTGGGATTCCAACACCTGCCAATGGCAGCCAGTGAATGACCCCAGGATTATCCACTGCTGGTTGGCTTTTCTGGGTCAGAAGTGGAGCTGAGAAAGCCCTGGATGGCAGCCCAGCACCTGTGTAGGGGAGAACTGCCCTCTCTGTGCCCAGCACTTCCCCCAGACTGAATATGCCAGGTTTGCTCTCTGTTCTGACCCGGGAAATGGAACTTGCCCAGAAATATTTCCCCCTGGAGTTAATTTGTAGCAGCACTTACTGCAGAGTCAGGCCTTGCCTCGTGTCTGTAACAAACACCAGTTCTCAGCTGCTTTACAAAACTGGCTCATGGAGGCACCAGCAAAGGTCTCGCTCGAGTCCTGTTAGTACAACTGGTCACCACTAATTACAAAGATGAAGGAAAATCATCACTAAGAGAGATGTTATACACTAAGATGAATGTTCAAGAGCACCTGCCCAAACATACTTTCTACTTCAAAATACACAGCCCTTACCCTCCCACTGAAATTTGTTTCTAGGTGCTCCTGTACACATTTTTTCCACAAAGAAATAAAATACATCCAAAAAGTCAATGGAAAGGATGTTCTTTACCTTAAACAAGACATTCCTGATTGACTTTGCCCCAAGAACAGTGATCTGAAATTAAGAAGGCAACTTGTTTTCCAAAGCTACCTGGGGACAACAGAGACAGACATTTAAATTAAAGAGCAGTAAGATTTAAAAGGTCTGAGTTTCTAAATTGGGAGCTTTCATTTAATTGGACATCAAGTGCTACTTAAAATAAGCCTATTTATCAAATATATTTAAATGTTTTAAGAGTCACAGAATCTGTTTTAAAAATCAAGAGTTAATGGTTTCTTTTGGGAAATTAGAGCTAAAGTAAAAAGCAGCTCAAGCATTTCTGGTTTTTTTTCTTCCCCCTCTTTAAGCTTATGATAATGAAGTTGAAATTACCGAAAAATTACATTAGTGAGAGTTGCAGTTAAAGTACCAAGAGTATTATTAAAACCCATGCAGAACCATTTGGAGCAGTTTCCCTCAAGTCTCAGTTTACTTTTTAGCAAGCAAAGTTTATGGTCACTCTAAGGATCAATATTCCACCCTTCTTGTTACGTTATGGAACGTTCTAAGTACAGACAGTGTAGATATTATTTCTAAGTCTGTGTCTGGCTCTAGTCCCTCTTTCAGAAGCACTTTGTGGGGTTTTGCTGCTGCACACAAGAAGCTGCAGTGTCTGTCTGGTCATTACAGAGAAGAGCTGGACACAGCAGCTGTCCCCACTGACAGCATTTGGGGTGGAGGTCACAGCCTCCACTCACTGCTCCTGCTCAGACAGGGCCCCCACTCCCCTGTGCACACAGAGAAAGGCAAAATCCCAGACTTCCCAACCATCTGGGTTTCCATCCTTGCCCTAATAAACATATTTAAACAGAGTGCTATTTAAAAAACCCCAATTTTTAGATTAAAGCATCTATTTCTGTCATCCAGGGAGTTCAGCCAAGACAAAACCCTCACTTCCCCCTACAGAAACAAGAGAAAACAGAGCAAAACTGGTGCAGTGAAACAGCTTGAGAGGCATCAGTGTGGGTTTGAGTAGATGCTGCTGAAGGATTATTACAGTAAGAATTGTCTTGTCATGGGAATGATGGGAAAGAGAGGTTGTTGTATCAAGTGTGTTTTTACTTGCACTGTTACCTGTCATAGTAACTCTCTTAAAAAGTACTCAGAAACTTCTGAGTTTTCCAAGTCTAGATGTAGCAGTCAGAACTATGGAGTAGTGCATTAAATGATGACATGGAATCATACACCTAAAATTTAATTTATTTTATTAAAATAAGATAATCAGAGGAACCTTGGCTTACAATAAATGCATTTTCTCAGGAGCAATAAAAACAAAATTAAACCCCAAATCAGCAAGAAAAACTGTATATGCTCAGTTTCCTCTTGATAGTGCATCTCTTGCACGACAGCTTCCGATGGGATGCAGACGGATAATGTCCCTCAGCCTTTGCCAGCCCCAAGGCTGTGCTTCCACACTCTCCACCTCCTGGGCTGCAGGGAACAGTCCTTAGTACCAAAGTCAGCTGTGAGGCTTCTCAGGATGACCGTGACTGGCTGCTTCCTTCTCTGAGCAGGACAATTCAGAACAGATTCCATTCTTTTGCAAGAGTTTTTCTTCTATGTGCAAAACTATTGCAAAACTATTTTGTGTTGAATTAGCATTTTAACTTATTTCATTGGCTTGATGAAGCTCTTAGGGCAGGAGCTGATTTCCAGAGTTATTTCCTCTTCCCTCAGTCTTGTTTGCAGACCCATTGCAGGCACAGCTCCCCCACCTCGAGGTGGCACATGGCGTGGGGCAATCAGAGCACCAGGACCTTGTCCTCAGAGCCACCCTGGCTGTGGAAACACCCCCTCAGCACAGATCCAGCCCGTCCAGAACCACTGCCAAAGGAACATCCACCCGCTTCCGGGCGTGGGCAAAGTAAGGCTCAAGTGCATCTATTAAAAAATAGTAATAGATCTCTTGATTTGCAGTCTGTCCCTGCCCAGGGCACGGCAGGGCAGGCCGGGAGGGCTGAGCACGGATCCTTAGCAGCTTGCTGGGACGAGGGGACCGGGGATCCCGCTGGCACTGGTCTGGGCACGAGTCACGGAGAGCACAAGTGTCCCTGTGTGCCTGTCCCCGAGCGGGGCAGGGGCAGGCCTAGAAGACGGGCAGCTTGGAGGAGGTGAGGGTGCAGGCGTTGATGTCCTCCGTGTGCGCCGCGCGGTGCAGCGACGGCTCCGACGCGCTGCGGTTGATCTTGGGCAGGGAGTGCTGCAGCAGCTCGATGGACGACAGGATCTGGGGGAACACACCCAGTGAGGGGCTGCTCAGAGAGGCAGCTCTGCCTAGGTCAGTCTTAAACCTTCATTCCATTCCTTCCCAACTCCATTCAGTTATGGCTTTAAGCTTACCTTGCAGAGCAGCAACGTGCTCTGCGGGCACTGAACACAACCCTGCAGCTGCAATAACCCACCTCTGCCAGCCAGGCTGTGCTCTGAGGAGCCTCAGGGAGGGGCAGAGGGTTTTCCATTAGTTCTCAGTCAATTCACAAGCATCTGTGCAATCCCAGCACAGTAACAGGGAAAGAACTGCATTTTCTGCCTGACAGTCTGTTTGCAAAGAACTGTTGGAAAGAACTTTTTAAACAACAAGCTGTTTAAAACAGCAAGTTCTTTTTCCAAAATCTGCTGATATTTAATTCCAGCTATTTAATAAGAAAGCACCTTCCCCATCCTCATAGTGACAGAAAAAGGTAAAGTATCCCTTGTAAAAATACCAAAAATTGCTACATGAATTTCCATCCCCCAGTGGATTTTGTTTGCTTGTTTTTAGTTGTGGGGAAGGAAAGGAGGAGTTGTCTCTCATTTCCCTCAAACCTACACTAAAATAAAATGTATACAGAGAAACAGATTTGATTTTAATTGTGTTAGGGTGGGGTTTTGCTTCTCTCTAAAGTGGGTCAGCTGTTAAACTGCTCCAGGGTCACCTGGCACAGCCTCAGCTTCATGAGTCATGATTTTTCATGACCTTTGCAGAACTGAAATACCAACTGCCAAAGGAGCTGGGTTGTGAACAAAGGCAAAAATAGGAACCAGGCTGCACTTCATGTAACCCAAACCTTCCACCTGAGCAGATTCTTTCGTGTGCTAATGGCTATTTATACAATACCCTGAAACTCCTGTGCACAAAACACACTTACCTGTGGAAACAGAGGTCGTTCTTCCCTAACCTTCTTCAAGCAATCTGCTACGAGCCTCTTCATTGCTTTGGGGCAGTTCTTGTACAGTTTACTGAGGTCTGGGGAAGCATAACCTCGGCCAACCATGAAAATGATCTGCAGAACAACAAGGAAGCAGCACAAACCAAAGTCAGGGAAGTGGTTTCACTGGTGATGATTAAATCTGAGTACCAAAGGACAGCCCAGAGCCCTGCAGATTGTCCCAGTGAGTGAACCAGGCCGATGGTCCCGCTGGGTGCAGGGGAGGATGGGACTGCTCCAGGAATGCTGTGCTTTGGAAGGCTCAGCAGGAGAAGGAGCTGTTGGTGCTCCGTGACATGGACATGGGAGCTCCTTCTGCTGAGTCTACAGTGACAACTTGATGTTCAGGGATATCTGAATCACAGAACCATCAGATCATCAGAACTAATCACAGCTAATGCAGCAAAAAAGGAAATGGATCGTTTTGAGACAAACAATAAAAGATGTTATTAGTGTTGGAAAATACTTATTCTGTTTTAATCCAGGTTAATATGGTCATTGTTTAGGATTTTCATCCTAAATAATGTCTTTGTGTTCTTCTCCTGGAAATATTCTGTTCTGTCCCTCCTGAAAACTTATGTGAGAGTCAGCTGCTGCATGTTTTGCAACAGTGATGGTTATTGAAACTTGCATATAATTTCAATATTATGAATTAAAGCATATTCCAATGGCCCAGTTTGTAGACAACCTTAAAATAAGAAAAAACTTCCTTAGCTTAACAGAAGTGGCCTCTTCTACTTACAACACTGACTGTGAATTATTACAGGTTATAAGAGTCACTAATAGAGGCTAAAATCTAGTTGTTTGCCCCCATAATCTCCATACACACACACTTCTCATTAGAAGATCTGAATTAATAAAAAGCAACCAAAACCACAAACCACAACTGAGGATCATCAAAACAGCTCCCAAAGATCCCACAGTTCCTGCCCTGCAGCGTTGGCTCTACACTGGCTAAGCCAGGAGAAGTGTTCATGGGAAGAGAACAGTTGGGGTTTCTGTCCTCAATGTGCTTCTTTACCATTGTTGGTTGGGTGACTACAGCTTAGGAAAGACTAAATCACACCAACATTCCATAGTCAAAGGTCTGACAATAGGCACTATTTTTTTGCCTTAGTAAAAAGCACAGAATCCAACCTGACACAAGAACATTTTTAAAATCAAAAGGAAAAGTTCACGTAACTGCAAATGTATAAACCAAGATTTTACTGAGGTACCTAAAGCTTTAACCTGTGAATAAATTCACAGGGCACTTACAATGCTTATAAAAATCAATTTTTTTCCCTTGAGTAACTGTCCCTGTCAATATTGAATAAACATTCAGTAACACAGATTTGCTGCTGAAACAAAGCAAGTTATAAACAACATTTCAATTGTTTTGCATTTGTGTTTATCCTGCAAAATGTGCAATGCCCAGAAATCC